GATTTGAGCAATTACAGCCTCAAAACTTGTGTAAAACACAAAATGGTGTGAATCAAAGTTGTTTAGAATGCAAAACCGAAACTCACGATACAAATTTTGAACAATAACACTCAAAGATTAAACAGTTTTGGCACAAAAACCAATCCGGTCAAAAAAAATCAAGAACAGTGATGAATCAGATCGAAAAAATATAAAAAAATTCGTGCAAAATGTGTAAAATGGATATCTTCAAATCCAAACTGCTGCAGCTTGCTCTGATACCAATTGCGGAGTCCATATTTCATACAAATCTTGATATGATCTTCATAGATTGATAAGAACATTAAGAATGATGTAAGTAATGATTAGAAGAGAGAGAGAGAATTACATCAGCCAAATCTTGATTTCAGTGTTAATGACAAAAGCTTTAATTACAATTACAACGAAATTCCTATTTATACTAGGAAAGTAAAGACTAAAATATTACAAATAAAACTATTCTAAGGAGAAACTTGAATACAACTTTTAAGCTCTAATCTTGAACCCAACAAAGGCCTTCTTCCCAAACTTCCTTTGAAATTTCTTGGTGATCAGGGCCAAGGATTATGCAAAGGCGTTTATATCGTCGTCTTCAGAGATGGAAGCTCTGTCTTCTTCATCATCACTCTCCAAGTTGAGAGCCTTCTTTCCCTTTCTTCTCTCTTCTCTAGGTCTCCGTTCCTTGTGTGGCTGGCTTGATCCTGTCTCTTTTGAATCAGAGACAAGAGCCAGAGGTCCATCCAGAGTGACCTTTGCCTTCTGCACCTCTTGCTCTTGAGCCTGCAGAGTCCCGTAAACATCGTGCAACATCCATTGCTTCAGATCTTGATTCTCCTGGAGGCACATCATCAGGTTTCCCTACTCTGCGTTCAATCTCTTCAAGAAGAGCATGTTGTTTACCTCTTGAGTTCTGATCACGTCACATTTGCGACATTTGTTGATCAGAGTATTAAAGAGGTGATAAGTCTATTCTAAAGACTCATCGGGAAGAGCCTGGAAGCTGTTGTATTCGTTCAGGCATTGGGCACGACAATTTTTCTTCATCTTTATGCCTCCTTCCAACTGGTTAGCCAGTTGATCCCACAAATCCTTGGCGGAGTCGCACGCGTTTGAGAGATTGGAAAATCTCGTTGGGAAGCGCCATAATCAAAAGTATTTTGGCCTTTTAATCCACTTCCACTCTGCATTTATCTTCATTGTTCCTGTCACGACGAAGTTTGGGTACACGCCTGGCAGGTACCTCAACTGTATCATCAGCAGCAGGAATCTGAAGTATGATGGTGGTAAGGACGTATGGGCCATTTAAAATGGATTCATAAAGTTCTAGATCTAGACCCTCGTAGAAATTTATCATCTAAATCTTCCATTGGGGATATTCTCCCCTAATGAGAGTCGGATGTTTTGTCATGGTACCAGCACTATACATGGAATTCCACGATTGAGACGACGACATTTTAAATCAAAATTTTGAGAAGAAAACTTGACGAGAAAGATAATCGACAGAAAAACATTTCCATATTATGTAAAAGCAACCGTTTTAAAATCGAGAAAAATATGAGTGAAAATTCTTTTAAAATGAATAATCAAGAAAAATTAAGAGTAGAATCCAGTCGGATTTTGATCGACTAATCAATGAATTTGATTAGCAAGCTCTGATACCAATTGTTAAATCCATATACTCTTAATTGGTAGAAACACAATATATAAAAAATGAGAATTAAACACAAACAGTGTAACTTGAAAGATTAAACGAGATATTCAAGATAAAAGTAAGAACAATGAGTAAACTTAAATATGCCGATTGCTTTTATTGATAAAACAATGAACAATCAAAGCAAAAACGTAATCTCCTAGAAAATGTGTATATTATAAGTTGGTTCCTTCAGGTTAATTAAACCTGAGGCGGAAGCCTCCTTATATACGCCTAGGTCTAACAAACTATGTTATAAAATAGGCGTGAAACTCTGAGCTGACTAGTCTGCAGCCTTATCTTTGACTTCCCTTGAATAGCGGAGCAGACTTGGTCAAGCCCCCTTAAATCTGTTAGATGATTGCGAGAATGTCTGGGCTACCACGTGTGCATTCCATGGAGAAGGTAGCCAGAAGCTCTACATGTACTATGCAGAGGCTCTGGGTCTTTGGAGTTGTAACTTGATGTCAAGCGCTTATGCTTTTGGTGCACAAGGCTTGATCAACCATGGGCAAAGAGCGCGGGCTCTGTATGAATGGAACCTTCACTCTTGAGTAAGAGCTCTGGTTCTTGATCTTCTGCACGAGAGCTCATAGTCCAGACCGCTTCACTAGACTAAATCCTAGAGAATAAAGTAAGAGACTTCTTACTTACACTTTCACAAGATGGGGTCTAACAACCGCCATAGACGAAAATAAAGACTTTATTCAACAAGACTATGTGCAAGTTGTTTGCAATTCAGATAATTTGAAATCATTAAAGGTAAAATGAATAATTCGAATTGATGATTTTGTTATCAACTGTCTTGCATTGGTTGATTCTGGTTGTTCAAATTGCATCTTAAACAGATCTTTGTTTCCTTCCAAATATATTGTCAAATCAGACTCACCAATTGATGCGCAACAAATGGATGGTGAAATTTTCTCTTATAATGAAATGTTGAGACCTAATAGTAAAGTTAGTTTTGAGACCAATTGTGGTTTTAGTAAAGAATATACTTTACCTCCTAAAAATACTTTTGTTAAGAGTGTTAAACCTTAACAATATAGACTTTATTCTTGGACTAAATTTTTTATTAAAAGACGATGGTAGCGTCACTTTAACTAAAGGCTTTTTACATTTTCACGAGCATACTTTTTTCACTCCTACCATCACTACTCATTTTCCTTCAAAGACTGACAAGCATGATACTCCAATGTTTAAAAAACCCTGCAACTGCAAGAAGGAAAGAGAGTGTCAGCTCAATGAAAAATAATTAGACGGTTATTTTTAGACGAATTTATAAATTATGATGAAGACCATTTTATAGATTATGATCTAGACTTTGTTAGCAGTGAAAAATTATACACAGCTTTGGTAACAGGCTCTGATATCGATAACATTGTTTCTAAATTAGAGAAAATAAGAATAATTGGATAAGACATTATCAAATATTGGGAAAAAAAACAAAGTTTTATGTGAGTTAAAAATAAAAATCCCGAATATGTGATAAAGACTAGAAATATAGAACCAACGAATGATGATAGAAAAGATTTTCAAATGCATATTTCAGAATTGTTAAAATTGGGCGTTATTAGAAAATCTGATAGTCCCCATTGATCTGGCGCCTTTATTGTTAGAAATCATTCTTAAATAATTAGAGGAAAGAGTCGTATGGTTATTAATTATAAAAGACTAAATGATAATACAGTTGATGATGCATATAATATTCCTGATAAGATTGTAACGCCCAATACCACACATTGCATGTAACACATATTTCATACAGAAGAAATACATGCTTATATACCATTCAGGTCCCTTAGTACAAGAATCTATCATTACAGAATACAAGGTCCAAAAATTCAAATACATTTCTTGTACTAATCAACGTTCATCAATCAAAATTGTACATCAAAGACAGATCTTCATGCATAAATGCATATAGGAAAATATCACATTTTCCCTTTTCCCTTACCGTCCGTACCTCCTGCAATACATAGTTAAAATCACAAAACGAGGGTTAGACCGAAAGGTCTAGTGAGTTACCCTATTTATGTTATTGCAGGGTGAAAATACCAAAATCTTTATGAAAAACAACATTTCATATATATAACAAATATATGAACAAATAGGAACATAATACTAGTACCTTTCCACTTTTCAATGCCAAGTATTCCGATTATTCAAATAACATACCTTTGAACCAACCAGGTTTCATATAATGCCACTTTTAAACCTTTTCTAATCATACAATATTTATTTAAAGTTTCAGTCCAAACCTGTTTTTTCTCCTCGATAACATCCATACTATGATTTCCAATAAAAACGTTGATCCTAAATCGTTAAATCACAAAGAAATAAAGATTCCAGACCACGGTAGTCTTAAGGGATATAATAGAAATAGTTATATCATACAACACACATACAAATGCCACCTTTATATCCAAATGTACACCTCTCCTTGATATGCCACCCTTATCCCATGTTACACCTCTCCTTGATATGCCACACTTATCCCATCGTACACCTCTCCTTGATATGCCACCCTTATTTACTCATCAAAACATTTTACAAAAACAATTTCAAATAGACCGCAACCAATGTAATTATTATCAATCCAAAATCATTTATATCAAATTTTCCATTTTATTGAAGTCCAATGAACTTTTACAATTGGGATTTTGCTATGCCTCAACTGCTTGACTTCTCTATCCAAGATTTCTATTGGTTTTTCAAGAAAGCGCAGATGATCATTAATTTGTACGTCTCCCAACGGAATGATCAGTGTTTCATCGATTAAGCAGTTTCTGAGATTTGGTACATAAAATGTATCATGAATAGCGCTCAACTCTTGTGGCAGTTTCAACTTATATGCCACTGGTCCTATTCTTTCAGATACTTCAAATGGACCAATATATCGGGGACCCAATTTTTCTCTTTTCCCAAAGTGCATTATTCCCTTCCATGGTGAGAACTTTAAGAGTACTTTATCTCCTTTTTGAAATTCTAATGATCTCCTCTGATTATCAGCATAACTTTTTTGGCGATCTCTTGCAGCCTTGAGTCGATCCTTGATAATAAATATCTTGTCAGTAGTCTCCTGAATGACATCAGGTCTAGTTAATTGCCGATCGCCAATCTCCAACCAACTAAATGGAGATATGCACTTACGTCCATATAATGCTTCATAAGGCGCACACTGAATACTGGCATGGTAGTTGTTGTTGTATGCAAATTCGACTAATGAAAGGTGCATATCCCAGCTCCCACCAAAATCTATGGCACATGTGCGTAACATGTCTTCCAGTGTTTGGATTGTTCTTTCCGTCTGCCCATCCGTCTGAGGGTGGTATGAAGTACTTAGATCTAAATGTGTACCCAACCCTCCTTGAAGTGGTTGCCAAAATCTTGACGTAAATCGACTGTCCCTATCCGAGATGATGGAGATACGTACCCCATGCCGAGTTACGATTTCATTTATGTAAATCTGAGCCAACTTTTCTATCTTATAATCTTCTCGAATTGGTAGAAAATAAGCAGATTTCGTCAGTCTATCTATAATCACCCAGATTGTATCATGCCCTTTCCTAGTTCTGGGCAACTTGGTAATGAAATCCATTGATATTTGTTCCCACTTCCATTAGGGAATTACGAGTTGTTGAAGTAGACTAGATGGTTTTTGGTGTTCATCCTTGACCATTGCACAAGTTAAACACTTGCTTACATATAGTGCAATGTCTTTCTTCATCCCTGGCCACCAATAATGTTCCTTAAGATCCTTATACATCTTATCCGCTCCTGGGTGGACTTAGTATTTTGATCGATGGCCTTCGTCCAAAATTATGGATTTAAGATTGCCAATCTTAGGTATCCAAACCTTGTCTCGCAAGTAATACACTCCATCTGATTTAAGTTAAAACTTGGTCTCTATGCGATGTAGGGCCTCATTCTTCAAATTCTCTTTCTTTAGTGCTTCCTTTTGATCTTCGAGAATTTGTGCCTTCAGTCTGGTGTTTACAATTGCTCCCAAAGCCCTCACCCTTGTTGGTTTCATTCTTTCCTTCCTACTCAGAGCATCGGCTACCACATTTGCTTTGCCGGGATGGTACTAGATTTCATAATCGTAATCACTGAGTAGTTCAACCCATCTTCTTTGCCTCATATTTAACATCTTATGGTTGAGAATGTGCTAAAGGATTTTGTGATCAACATAGTCCACTTGGTACCATAAAGGTAGTGTCTTTATATCTTAAGTGCAAATACTACGACTCCCAATTCTAGGTCATGCGTAGTATAGTTCTTCTCGTGCACTATGAGTTTCCTTGAGGCATATGCAATGACCTTATCTTTTTGCATTAGCACACATCCTTAGCCTTGATGTAATGCATCACAATAAACCACAAAGTATTCCGAACCCTCGGGTAAGGATAAAATAGGTGCATTACATAGTCTCTGCTTAAGGGTCTCGAATGCTTTTTGTTCTTTCTCTCCCCAGACAAACTTCTTGTCCTTCTGGGTTAAAACTGTGAGTCGTTGCGCAATTTTTGAAAAATTTGCAATGAATCGTCGATAGTAGCCTGCCAAACCAAGAAATTGTCAAATCTCTGTCGGGGTTCTTGGGGCTTCCCATTTCTCAATGGCCTCAATCTTGGCAGGATCTACCTGAATCCTTTTTTTCATTAACCACGTGACCAAGAAATTGCACTTCTCGAATCCAAAATTCGCATTTGGAGAATTTTGCGTACAATTTCTAGTTCCTGAGTTGTTCTAATATCATCCTCAAGTGTTGCTCATGATCCTTCTTACTTCGTGAATAAATTAGTATGTCGTCTATGAAAACGATTACGAATTTATCCAGGTATGGTCTGCAAACTCTATTCATCAGATCCATAAAGACTGCCGGTGCATTGGTTAGCCCGAATGGCATAACCAAAAATTCGTAATATCCGTATCGGGTTCTGAATACTGTTTTGGGGGTGTTCTCTTCCCGAATTCTCACTTGATGATATCTGGATCGCAGATCAATCTTGGAAAAGTATACAGCACCTTGGAGTTGATCGAACAAATCATCGATTCTAGGAAGAGGGTATCTATTCTTGATGGTCAACTTATTAAGTTAATCAATGCACATTCGCATTGACCCATCTTTCTTTTAAACGAATAGAACTGGTGCACCCCATGGTGAGAAACTTGGTCTTATAAATCCCTTATTCAATAACTCTTGGAGTTGGCTTGACAGTTCTTGCATTTCTGATGGAGCCAATCGATATGGTGCTTTTGCCATTGGGCCAGCTCCAGGGATTAAGTCGATACCGAATTCGACTTGTCTTGGTGAGGGTAGTCCTGGTAAATCCTCGGGAAATATATCAGGAAACTCCCGAACTACAGGGAAATCATCAATATATTTCTCTTTGACCTCCTTATCAGTAACATGTGCCAAAAATGCAACATAATTCTTCCTTAAGTACTTCAGCATTTTCATGCATGATACTATCCTAATTTTCCGCTCTGACTCATCTCCTTGAATTACAATTGAGTCACTTCCTTCTTGAGGAATTCAGATAACCTTTTCCGAACAAACTATTTCAGCTCTATTTTTGGATAGCCAATTCATGCCTATAACTACATCAAAACTTCCCAACTCAATTGGAATGAGGTCTATGCTGAAATCCTTGTTGGCTAAACTTAGTGTGCAGTCCATGATTATGTCTCTAGCCTTAATTTCTTGGCCATTGGCAAATTCTATTACATAAACTTCTTCCAACCTTTGGGGCTTTAAGTTAATCCTCGGCTTAAAATCTAGTGATACAAAACTTCTATCTGCCCCTGAATCAAATAATACCGATGCAAATTCATTATTCAAGAGAAATATACCTGTAACCACATTAGGATCATGCCTAGCTTCCTTGGCTCCAATCTCAAATGCTCTGCCCCGTGCTTGACTTTCTGGGTTTCCTTGATTGGCTGGTCGGGCTTGGTTAGCATTTGTTCCTTGTTTTCTCTGTGGGCAAACATTCCTCATATGGTCTGGACTCCCACATTCGAAACATAATCGCCTTCGACAATCCTTTGCGGAGTGACCCCCTCTGTGGCATCTTTGACAAATGATGCAATTCCTCCAGTGTGGATATTTGCATTTATTGGACTTAGGCTTGCTCCCTTGGTTTATCACCTGAGTCTGCACCCCAAAATTTCCTACTACTTTCCTATTCTTGTCAAATTTTCCCCCAGATCTTCGATTCCCATGCTCCTCCATCTTTCTCTTTCCTTTGGCGAATTCTCCGGACCGAACAACATTATTTGTGAGCCTGGTGGCAATGTCTATTGCCTCCTGAAGAGTCCTTGGGTTTGCCGAGGTGATATTTCCTCGAATCTCTGGAGACAATCCCCAAATATATCTCTCGATTCACACTTCCTCGGGTGTCAACAGATGTGGCACTAGATTTGCTAACTCATGGAATCGGGCAGTATATGCAGCTATGTTTTCCCCTTTCATCTCATGGTTCCATAACTCCATCTCCAACTTTTGGAGTTCACTTCTTGGACAGTATTCGTCCTAAAGTAATTTCTTGAACTCCTCCCATGAAAGTTGGTTGGCAGATTCCCGACCCCTAGTCTGAACTAATGTGTTCCACCATGTTAGTGCCCGTCCTTGAAGTAAGCATGTAGCATATTCTACCTTGTTTGCTTCTATGCATTTACTGATATGGAGGACAGATTCCATACCCTCTATCCAAGTCAATAATCCTACAGCCCCCTCAGTTCCATGGAATTCCTTTGGGTTGCAGGATCTGAAGGATTTATAGGTGCATTCCTGGGGTGTTCTAGGCCCAGAATTAGTTGGTTGGTTAGCGTTTAGTCCTGCCGCTACTTGGCTGACAATGTTGGGGAGTGCAGCCAATAGTTGTGTTGATACGAGTCGTGCAACATCAGGGTTTTCTCTTCTTGGCGGCATTTTCTAAAGCCAAAGTCAGAAGGGAATTTCATCATCTTCATGGCAATATCAAGGATAATAACTCCCAGTTATTTAAGTGATGCATAGGATATTCATCGCATGGATAACATTCAAGCATTTATATGACCAAACAGAATAATCTTATATTCACCATGGCTATATATAAATAAGCATTTCTCACAAAAAATGTCATGCATTCATAGATGATTACAGCCACAAAAACAAGATCTTGGGTTTCTATGCAAACGAGTAGATATCCTATCACTAGCCGCTATCTCTAGAATATCATCCAACCTATCAGCATTCCTAGCATCAACATCATCATCCCACTCACCACCAAACATTTGTACAATCTTCTAATCTCCCGCCTCTCTGCATTGACGACATGTGGTTCTCATCATTCGCTGGTGGTGCATTTCTACCACTTCAGATAGGTTGTTCAAAATGTGGTGATGATATCCCAGCCGGGTCTGGTGAGTTTGAGTATCTGATGCGATTCTCCGCACCTACTCTCGTTCAGCCAGATTCATGCCCGGAGTGTAGGATGCAGGTACTCCGGTCACTACTTGAGGGATCCTGCTCCCATGCTGTGGTTGAGATGACTCCCCTCTTACTCAAGCAGAATTCTCAAAGGTCACTCGTCGAGGTAGTGGAACACTCTTCCTAGGCGTGACTCTAATCCTTGGACCATGAAAGGTTTGAGGTGGGATATCGGGTACTTGCTCCGATGGGGGCAATATGGATGCTAGTGGTAAAGCAGGTGTCTCACTGGTTGCTGTGTCCTCATGCTCATACGGGTCTACCTCCATATTGATGAATGAGCTCCTTCTGGATCGGCGAACCACATAGACAGATTCGTCTGCCGAATATTCACTAGGAGCAGATGATGCCATAGTGATCTGCAATATTAACAATCTTAATTACGAAATGTACCATCTATAAATGCTTAATGCTATAACAGAAGTTTCTAAGCAAGTCTAAGGGTGGCAATCAAGCTAGAATCTCTAGATAGAAAGTCTCTGGTTGCATTACCAGAGCCTCTAGTTCATCCTTCATACTTAGAAAAGTAATGGGTAACCCATCCATTGGTCCTCTGGTTCCACATACAGACTAAGCAAACCAATGGAATACTATTTCATCGGTCGTTGGTTCAACATCCATACTTAAAGAAATAATGGATTTCTCGTCCATCCGTCCTCTGGTTCCTCACACTTTGCATCCCAATGGATCTCTAGTCCATCGGCCTCTGGTATCTCATACTTTGCGATATAAGATCTCTAATCTATCGCCTCTTGTTCTACATGAACACTTAACAATATAAGGAATTTTCTATCCTTCGCCTCTGGTCCTTCTAACCAGAGCTTCTGGTCCATCATGGTCACAACAACATAAAAGATTTTCTACCCATCACCTCTAGTCCTTCTAAGCAGCGCTTCTGGTCCAACATGGACGCTTAACAATATAAGGGATTTTCTACCCATCGCCTCTGATCCTTCTAACCAACGCTTCTGGTCCAACACGGACGCTTAACAATATAAGGGATTTTCTGCCCATCGCCTCTGGTCCTTTTGACCAGCGCTTCTTGTCCAACATGGACGCTTAACAATATAAGGGATTTTCTACCCATCACCTCTGGTCCTTTTGACCAGCGCTTCTAGTCCATCATGGACACTTAACAATACAAGAGAGTTTCTACCCATCGCCTCTGGTCCTTCTAACCATCGCTTCTGGTTGGTCTAGGGCAATATATATTCATAATTTATGCAACACACAGAAAATCATGCTTTTCATAACAATTTCTTAACTGGAGCATATTTTTAGTACAACCGATTAAGTCCTTCCATTATATGTTAATTAAACATAGGTGATCAGGCTTTGTTTAATTGATATATAATTACGTGACCCGCTTTGTATATATATAAATATACATTTTTAAATCACTTGAAAACTATTTTGAAAATATTTGGTTATAGTTGGTGGTTTTTAAGGAAAAACCGGCGTTCTCTATAAC